CTGCCCCCCACGGCCCCCGCTGGGTGTCCCACCGCCCACTCACGCTGCAGGCAGTCGGCGTTGAGCAGGTCCTGGCACTTCTCGTGGCACTTGACGCCGCACTCGGTGCAGCGCATGCCCTGGCGCGCGATGCCCCACAGCAGCCCCTCGCACTCGTAGCAGTAGGTGGGCGTGGTGGCCGTCCACACCTCGAAGTTGTGCGGCGTGGTGCACGAGATGGGGTAGATTAAGGCTTGCAGGGTCTTCTTGTAAACGTGGTTTTTCTGCAGGGAGGGGGTGGCACGGTTGCTCCCCTCGCTCCCTGGCCTGGCTCTGTCCCCCCGCCCAGGCCCTCGAAGCCCACGCACCAGCTCCTCGTTGTTCAGTGTGCTGGAGGCCAGGGCCGAGGTGATGCCCGCCTTTCTGGACTGCACCAGGGACTGGGTGGGGTCGCGAGGAAGTCCAGCCACAGGGGGGGCCGCCAGGCATCATCGGAGCCGGGCACAGGTCACAGGTCACAGGGCACAGCACAGGAGGAAGCGACAGGGCTCCGGATTAGCGGGGCAACCGTTGCTCCCCACCACGGATGCACCCTAGGGGACCCCCAGCCACACGGCAGAGCCATCAGGTGGGGGCGTGGCCAGGTTGCCCAGAACCCCGGGACAGGGACAGCGAGAAGACCTCCTGGGAGCAGGGAGTGGAGCCCCTCGGGGTCCCGGGCCTCCTCCACTCACCATGGCCTGAAGCATCCACGGAGCACATGGGGCGGAAAGCAGGCTGCGTTAGTCCTGGAGAAGGCCGGGCCAGCCCCCAGCCCAGGACCGCCAAGGGCAGTTTCGCGGCCGGCCCGCTCTTTCACGCAACGCTTACCAGGTCACTCACGAGAGGGATGGGCTTCCTCTTGCGGATGTCCGGCATGCTGTCGATGATGATAAGGCCACCCCCGGGGCTGCAAGGGACGCGGGGGCTGTGAGGGCCAGGCTCCCCCTCAGCACACAGGCACTGCCTGGGGCCGGCCGGGACCCTCGACCTCCGCAGGGGTGAGGTGGGGCTGAAGCTGGCACCGGGAAAGTCGCGCACAGAGGATGTGATCCGCTAACACGAGGCTGAGGCGAGCGGGCGAGGGGCCTGCGCCGCGGGGCGGTGCGCGGACGGCAAGGGTCACGGACAGCGGGGAGAGGCAGGGGAGGACCCTGCCCCGTGGGCTCTGAAGAGGGGTGGCCCCGAGCCCCTGCCTTCACTAGCCCGGGGTAGGACACCATGTGACATCCCTAGCAGACCTCAGCCTCAGCTTCCACCTCTGGGAAATGGCGCAGTGGTGCACATTCAATGGAAAACTGAATTCAGGCAAATGTAAACGTCACGCTAGAACAGAAAAGACTTTTTTTTTTTCAGTACTGGGGATGGAACCTTCTTATTGAGGGCCTTCACACTGAGATCCATCTCCAGCTTTTTAAAATGTTGAGATAGGGTCTCACTAAGTTGCCCAGACAGGGCTCCAACTTGTGATCCTCCTGCCTCAGCTTCCAAGTGCTGAGATGGCACTTGTGTGCCACCAGGCCTGGCGGGAAGCGTTTCTTTGCACTTAGTATGGAAATGTGTGTGCTCACGTGCAGTCCAGCTGGAGGCAGTGGTGCCAGAGCTGACGGGGCAGCAGCTGGAGTCATGTGTGCGACTCAGACCTTTGCCAAGGGCCTGCCTCAGCCGGTGCCCGGAAGCGGCCGTGTGGCGGAGGCTGTCGTGCCTGGTCCAAAGCTGCTTCAGGGAGACGGGCGATGGCCCTGAGCCGACAAGCTGCGGCTTCTGTCCAGACCCTCCCGTAGGCCACAGGGGTGTCTGTGCCCCACCGCTTTCTGCAGCATGGACCAGAGCTGCCTGGCGTGCCTCCCCCGTCGGATCCGCGCCTGCCAGGGTGCCCCTGCAGGCCCTGCTCCAGGGCCGCCTCCAGCCAGGGCCCCCTCCTTTATTTTTGGAGCCACAGCTCCTCCTGTCCCTGATTCTGTGTGCAAGGGAGGCGTGCAGGAAGCAGGCCATGGTCCTGATGCTATTTCCAGACACAAGTGTCGCTTAAAATGATCTCCTGCGTGGTCCGACCTCCCCACCTGCTGCCCTCCAGCAGGCGCCTCGGAGGCTGCGGGGACAGCAAGCTCCACGGAGGCTCTCTGCCTCTTGTTAATTAAAGAGCCTGCGACCCAAGCGAGGATCCAAGGCGTTCAGAAACAGAATCAAAGCAAGCCAGAGGCTGCAGGGTCGCACAGGGCGGGTGTGAGCATTAGTGTCTGCTTTATCTTACAGCTATTTCTGCGGGGTGTGGCAGTGTGTGTCTGCAGTCCCGGCTACCGAGGAAGCTGAGGCAGGAGGATTGCTTGGGCCCAAGAGTGCAAGACCCGCCTGGGCAACATCACAAGAGCCCACCTCAAAACAGCAAAAAGCAAGGGCCGCTCCCAACCCTCGCGAGGCTGAGCCCCGGCTGCAAAGCAGCCTCGGATCAGGATTTCAGACATGCTGCACGGCCTGCAGCTCCATCACTCACCCGCCCTTGAACCACAGGGACTTGGACATCTCTCCTTCTCCCCGGGCCTGCGGGACAGACAGACAGACAGACAGTCAGTGTGGCCGTCCCTCCCATCATTTCTGCTCTGGCTGTGTGTTCTTAGCACTGCCCTGAGCCTTGCTTATCCACGAGGCAAATGGGCTTCCCCATCACACACCGCGTCAGCCTTCCGCCGAGCCTGGGGATTAGTGCGCACGGCTGTGCACGGGAGCTCCTCCTCCACAGCAGTAGGGTACACGGGGGTTGAAATTTCTCTGGTCCAAACAGAAGATTCTATCCTTTCCCGAACCCGGGACAGCCTCCCTCACTTCGCTACCCTCGTGCCCAGGGCCTTTGCACAGCTGTCACCTCTTGTGCACCGGCTACCTTCTGCACCCAGCAGCCTCCACGCAGCACTCATTCTCAGCGCAGACCGAGGGGACTCCCTGACCTTGAATCTGACCCACATGTGGCTGCAGCCACGACCTTAGCCTGTGTCCGGTTCCGTCCTCCTCTCCTTCCTCTTGGCCCTGAGGGAGGCTACTTGGGGGCCGGGGGCGGGGGCAGGTACAGGGGCAGCTCTGACAGCTTCACCTGGCAAGAGGTCAGTGGCCGGTATGGGCGGGGTGAGGGAGAACCTGGTGGGTGGTGTAGTCATCGTGGGGTGTGGGCGGGTACTGGGCGTGGTCAAAGTGGGGGCAGTGGGTAAGGGCAAAGCAGGTAGGGCGGTGGTGGGCTTGGTTAAGGGTATGGGTGTGGCTTGGGGGCGTGGCCAGGCTGAGAATGGGTGGGATGTTGGGCGTGGCTGAGGGGGTGTGGGTGGAGCACTGGGAGCGGCCAGTCTGGACCAGAGCATTGGGCGTGGCCACGTGGTGTGGGTGGGGAGATGGGCGTGGCCAGGCTGTGAATGGGCGGGATTCTGGGCGTGGCTAGGGGTGGGGAGTTGGGCGTGGCCCACAGTAGGGGTGGGAGATGGGCGTGGCCAGACTGTGAATGGGCGGGATTCTGGGCGTGGCTAGGGGTGGGGAGTTGGGCGTGGCCCGCAGTGGGGGCGGGCGCTGGGCGTGGCCGCGCACTCACCTCCTGCAGCTGCATCCGCACCTTGTTGAAGGCGCGCAGCCAGTTGGCCTTGGCTCTGGACATGGAGTCCTGGCCTTCCTGGCCGTCCTCTTCTCGCGGCCGGAAGCTGAGGCAGAGGGTGTGGTGAGCCCTGCGGGCTCTCCGCCTCACCCCGCTCCGTCCCGGGTCCGCAGCGCCTTGCGACCTCCCGGGGCCCGTGGCCGCCCATCCCCGCCCGGCCCGGCCACTACCTCTCGGCCGCCTGCGGGGGC